AATATATAATTTTTTGAGCTTCTCTGCGTTGTGACTACATGCAAATAAGTCCATAATAACCATATCACCATATATTGAGTGTCTAGCCAGTTCCAGGTCTGTATATCATCACTGTTATTAATACTATCACCTCAATTAATCTCCACATCAACCTGATCAGTAGGCATTGCACTGTACCCATTTTACAGATGGGAAAGTAAAAATTCAAAAATGCAGATAACTTTCCCCAAATCATGTCACAGCAATATGGTGCGTTAGGAGGATGTGGGTACTTTCTTGTATAATCGTAATCTTCCCCCAGAAGATACCAGAATGTTATTAGACCGTATGCCAAGGGAGAATGTTCACAAAGCAAGTCAGATAGAAGAAAGGGTTACAGGCTTCCTCGACGTTTTATTTTTCAAGTGTTTATTACATTTAACAGAAAGAGAAACTAAAATCTGAAGTTCCTCCAAGTGCCTGCTATGAAGGCCCAGCAAACATGAAATTGTAACTGGGTACTGTTGGGAACCCCTCGTGCTCAACCACCATCAGTGTGAGGAGTGATTGGCAAACCTCTCTGGATGGAAATATCTTTCTAAATTCTAAATGCTGTGCCTTTTGATCTAGGAAGTCTACTTTTAGAGTGTATGTACTTGGACGTGTACAAAAATAAGAGTATTGACTGTAGCATTTAATGCCGTGACAAAGGAGCAGGAAACTTTAGTGCAGATGGCTACAGGCTCAGGTAGGCAAACTTTGGCGTACACAACGGGACACTGGGCCATTTAAAGGAATTAAGTGCAACAAGATGGACTGAAAAAGAATGTCTTCCATATATGTAACCCTGTGAAGAACGCCAGGAGCACAACAGGGCATGCCCTCTGCTGTCATTTTCATGAAGCAACGATGAGCTGTCTCTGTGTGTGTGTAGGCCCATGGGCTGATTGTTCGCTAATATGGAAAGAGTGGACATCAAGGAAGGAGAAAGAATCATTTTCTACATCTATCATTTGGTTCTGTTTTATTTTTACTCCACATGTATTTATCATATTTATTGTCCAAAGACAGATGTCCTTTATAAAGGGGTGGGGTTTTTCGTGGCAGGTGTTAGATGTTTCATTTTATAAGCCAGAAAACTGTCATGCCCAATGAGTTCAATAAGGAACAAGTGGCAAGTCTTGCTACACAGTTACTGATTTTGAACCTTGCATTACAAGCAACGTGGAACACAGCGGGTGCCAGGAAGAAGGGAGTTGGAGGAAACACAGCAGAGGCAGAGATGCAGGACCAGTGTCCAGAGGCAAAGCCAGTGTTTCCTGGTTGTTCTTTGTTTATTCAGCCATCATTTCTGGACCTCAAGTTCAGGTCCAGGGCACTACGAAAACAAACTTCTGTTGCTACCAACCTGGCCTGGAGCAAACTCCTGGTCTCATGAAGAGGGAAAGCCTAACAAGAAATTCTCAGAGTGCGTGTTTCTGGGCTGGGTGGTCCTGACCAGAGCCTCTGACATCTGCATTGTCCCAGCAGATACACTGGTATCTGTGGAGTTAGGCGAGACACGTCTCCAACTTGGATATCTAACCCAGTCTGGGTCTAAGTGGGGTTGGGAAAGGCTTCCTGAGGATGTTGCACTAAAGTGAAGAGATAAAGGAGGAGAAGAGCGGGGGTACGGCAGCTCTTTGGGCCAGATGCAGGGGAGAGATTGGGCTGTTGGGGGACAGAGAGAAGGCCAGCAGGCTGGGGGCATCATAGAGGTTGAGGACAGAGGTGTCTGGGGAGGCCGGAGAAACTGACAGGAACCAACATGCTGCTTCCTATGTCCAGAGCAAGGTGGAGGGGGGGACTCAGAGTCAGGCTTTAGAAACTCTGACTTCAAAAGTGATGTCTTGGAAAATTCCCATGGGCCTGGCAGTGGTGGAGATGAGGTAGAAGAAGGAGGGCAAGTGGGTCTGGGGAGAATGATGGGGAAGCCCTTCCCAGGTGGGAAAGGGCGTGATGGGCTTCCTCTTGGACTAAGCAGGTGGCAGTGTGGATGAAGAAAGAGGGTAGTCGATGAGTAATTGCAGGCAGGAGGCGTGTGGCTGTGTGGGCTGAGGGAGAGAGAAGAGTCGAGGAAGACGTGGATGTTTCTAGCTTGAGAAACTGGAGCGGGATCTGGTGCGGGTGGCGGAGATGGTGGCTCTTTTTCCTAAAATGCAAAAGACCCAAAAAGGGACTGTTTGCAGGAGAAAAATGAACGGTTCAGTTTGAGACAGAGTGAGTCCTTTCACCCTTTGGTTCAAGCAGTGGCTAGTCCCTGGGCTGCCAATCTTCAGATTCCTGTCCCCATGACACACCTTGAGAATTCTCCTTCCTTGCCTAAGTCCATTTGCTGTCCTGGTGTCCTTCTGGGCCTACCAGTGTCCCACTCCTCTGAGAAGATGACCCTGCTTCTCATTTCCCTGGGAAGTTTTCAGAAGGGACTGCCCAGATGTCACCATTCCCGCCAACCTCCCAACCCTGAAGGCCACATTTTCTGCCTTCCTTCTGTGGGGTGGTGAAACTTCTTCCCACACCCTCACCTGTGCTTGGACGCTGCTCCCCACACACCAGCTTTTTGCTCTAGCAATTTCCATGTCTCTTGTGTTCCCTGCCTCCTGAATCATCCCAGCATCCTGCAGACATACGGTGATAAGTTTCATCGCAGATAAAAGATTCTCTCCTGACTCCTCAGCATCTTCCAGCCCCAGCCTGACTACTGTATCCCTCTGTCAGAAAACCCTCCCTACACACACGCGTGCACACACACACACACGCACCATCTATCTGACCCCACATTCGCTTGTCAGATACTCAGTTGAACCTACTCTGAGTTCATCTCAGCATTCCTCTAAACTGATTCCCCAGTAGCTTCCAAGTCACCCTTCCTCTTATCTCGGGGTCACGCTTCCTGTTTCTCTTCGCTGGTGCTCCCTGGTCTTTCTGACCTCACTACAGAGACAGCCCGGGGTTGAATCTCTGCACCTCTTCTCCCCTGTTTCTGCACGTACTCACTCCATGACCTTATTTATCTTGCTGTCCTCAGAGACTATCTGCATGCGATGGCCTCCTGCGTTCATGCCGTCAGGACAACTCCTGCCTAAACTTGTACCCAGTTGGCTACTTGATGTCTCCTATGGGGGTCTAATGGGCATCTCAAACTTAATACGTTCCACACTAAATTCCTGACTAATGACTTTTCCCCAAGACCAAATCTACTTCACCCCCAGTTTCTCCATCACTATAGATTGCAAGGCTGTCTTGTCTTTGGTCAGTTACACAGACCCAAAATCCTGGGGTCATCTTTGACTCATCTCATCCTCACACACCCCACATTGAATTCATCAGCAAGTGCTGTGGTCACTGTCTTTAGACTATAATCAGACCCAACTTTCCCCCCTCTCACTACTTTCTTTTCCTACACTCCTGGTCAAAGTCATCCTAAGTGGTCTCCATCTTTCCATTCTTACCTTCCTACAATTTATTCTCAATTCTCAAGCTAGATTGCGCCTTTGAAACGTCATGCCAGATCAAGTCACTTAGTGATCTCCCATGGGTTACAGGGGGAAGGCATTCTTCTTAATAAAGCATCACAAGAACAGAGAAGCAAGAACCCAATGTACTCAATTCTAATACGAAGGCAGTAGATGACCTAATACATCAGTGGTTCTCAACCTTCCTAACGCCAGGGCCCTTTAATACAGTTCCTGTGGGTTGCAACCCACAGGTTGAGAACTGCTGTATGTTGGGAGGTAGGGGAATGAGGGAGCAGGAAAAAGGGAGGAGGGAGGGGATTAGGGGGTCACAGTGTATGACACACCTCTTGGGGGGACGACACAATTTATAAGAGGGAATTTACCTAAGAAATGCAACCAGTGTAACCTAATTCTCTGTACCCTCAATGAATCCCAAACAAAAAAAATGCACAATTCAAACGAGTCCTAATCCTGTCCTATCCTGCTGCTTCTGAATGTCTCTCCTCTTCTCTACCCCTCCACCTTCTAGGTTAGCAAAGCTGCCTCCTTGCTGCTTCTGGAGTAACCAAGGGCTTTTCTGCCCCTGACTTTCTGCACCTGCCATTTCCTTTGCCTGGAAAATGTTTGCCCCAAGGGAATCCTGCATCGTGATCCCTCACATTACTTAGATATCTGCTCAGACGATGTCGTTGTTCTCCTGTGAAAAGAGGGGCAGGAAAAGCCACTGTACGGAAGTCTCAGAGCACAATATGACTGTACTTCAGACATGGTTCTGAACACATTCCATGAACTATAAAATTGCATCTCAGCAGCCTCACCCAGCTGGTAGTGATAGTTTACTGAGTGCTTGCCGTGCTGTGTAAATATTAACTCAGTCTACATAAAAGCCCCATCAAGTCAGCACTGCGAATCTCTCTGCTGTACATGTGGAGCACAGAGAGGGTAAGTAATTTGCCCCATGTTACACAGCCAGAGCTAGGCTTTAGCCTAGAGCTTAACGGTGGCCCCAAGCTTAGGATGCCACTTGAGAAAAGGAATCAGATTTAAGTTGAGCCTTTACAGGTGGCAAAGCAAGCATCAATTTACAGTTAAAAGTAGATGGACGGCATTCCTTCACAGGCAGGTGGCACTGTGTGTACACAGGTGCTGAAGTGGGCAATCAGCCTTCACACTTCCCAGAAAGCAAGTGTGACTGAGGTGTAAAGTGCACGGTTGCTAAGGCGAGTGAAGACAGTCACTGGAGCATTCGCAGGGGGGTGAGGGGGCTGTTTATCTGCTGCTGCCTCAGATGGAGAGCCCACATCCCTCACGCCGGCGTCTGGAAGTGAGTTGTAGCAGTCGAAGTTGGCTAGTCCTTTAAACCCTTATTGGTCAGCCGATCACGGAACTTTGCAGCAGGGGTGGGGTGGGTGGGGGTGGAAGGGAAACCGAGAAAATGCAAGTTCAAGGACGGGGGGAGGTGCAGCTTCAGAAGCGGGGTAGCGCTCTTCCTGCCTAGACACGACCTCTCCCTCACCTTCGCCCCGGCGACCCGGCACTGGGTCCTTATGGCCAACCATGAATTCAGACCCGTGTCCGGGAACGAACCCTGCTGCCCGCTCTCTAAGAGGGCCCAGATCTGTCTTGGCGTCGGTCTCCTGGTCTTGACGGTCGCCGTGGTGGCGGCCGTGGTGGTCGGAGTCTTGATGGGGCGCCCGCCGCCCCAGCCCTTGGAGTGGAAGGGGCGAGGGACCACAAAACACTTCCCCGAGATCGTCCTGGGGCGGTGCCTCATCTACACGCAACTGGTGCGGCCTGCGATGAGGTGAGCCGGCCCCGCGGGTGCACAGCTGGCGGGGCACCTCGCGGGGGAGTCGCCGGGGTGGGCGGTCGTCCGGGTCACCCAAACAACTGCTCTTCTGCAGACGATCAGCTGCTGCCCGCGGGGCGATGCTGAGCGGGGAGCCCCGGCTCGCGTCTGCGCGCGTCCGGCTGCCTCTGCCCGTCGCCGGCGACCCCTCGGCCGAGACGCCTGCCTTCTGGGCAAGATGCCCCTGCCCAGCCCCGCGCCCTGTCCGGCCTCGGCGCTTGCAGGGAAAATGACCCAAAGCGCAGGGTGGGGAGGGCTGGGATGTTGACATCTTCAACTCTGCAAAGAGTTTCCGTCCGCTGCAGCTGCCCAGGAAGTGCCGGGACAGTTACACACACACACACACACACACACACACACACACACCCTGCATCTGGTTAAGTGGCTTGCAAAGCCTGCGGTGGAGGAGGAGGCGTGGACCGTTAGTTTTATTCGTTTGTGTACAAGGGCACCTGGATTCTTGCGTGCCCTAAAAAGCATTTGACCTGAGAAATCGTTAACAAAGCAAAACAGCCTGGTGTAATCCTAGCACGCTGGAAGGCGGAAGGTGGAAGGCCAAGGAAGGTGGATCGCTTGAGCTCAGGAGTTCAAGACCAGCCTGAGCAAGAGCGAGACCCATCTCTACTAAAAATAGAAAAACTATCCGGGGTTGTGGCGGGCACCTGTAGTCCCAGCTACTCAGGAGGCTGAGACGGGAGGATCGCTTGAGCCCAGGAGTTTGAGGTTGCTGTGAGCTATGATGCCATGGCATTTACCCAGGGTAACTGAGTGATACTCTGCCTCAAAAAAAAAAGGTATGGGGTAGTTACTATTGGTATTCACATTTTACAAATGTGCAAATTGAGGTAGAGAGTTGTGTAGATTGTCCGAAATTTGCCTTCAGAGACTGAACTCTAGCCACTAACCTACACTGCCTACCTCTGCTGTATAGACAGAGTGACTATATAATTTATCGATCATATCTCCGGACTCTTGAAATAGAAAAGATAATAATAGAAAATACTATTAATAAGTCTGCAGAGTCACCAGGCTTGAACCAGGACATACGATCACCATATCCGTGGGTGCTTTAGGACCATGGGTTCTGGAGTCACACTGTTTAGGTTATGACCCGTCTTGGTGAGAGCTTGGGCCAGTTAATTTCTCTGTGCAGTTCCCAACTGTGAAATGGCAGCATTCCAAGTAGTACTTAGCACATGGGGAAATGCTGAGGATCCAGAGTAATAATCTTGTCATGTAATAAATTCTTTTTTTTGGAAATGAGCATCCCAAGACACCTTCTCACAATAATAATTATAGATTAAGGACAACTGTTTAAAATGGATACTTGGTGTTATTTAAATCACAAGGCAGGAAATCAGTCCTCCAGTCATGGAATTTATATTGTTTTTAATTTTTTATTAGTTTTCTTTTTTTTTTTTAGCTCAACATCAACACTCGATCTTGGAGATCTTTCAATCTCAGTATGTGTAGACCTACCTCAAGCCTATTAATAACTCACCGTATCCCAGAGAGTAGATGTAACCATTTCCTATTCATAGGAAATTAGGATGTTTCCAATTTTTCAATCCTATTCATTCATTTACCAATCATCTGTGGAGACTGGGCGCTCGCAGCTCAGTGGTTAGGGCGCCAGCCACATGCTCCGGGGCTAGTGGGTTTGAACCTGGCACAGACCTGCTGAACAAAATAATAATAATAGCTGGGCATTGGGTGGGTACCTGTAGTCCCAGCTAATAGGGAGGCTGAGATAAGAGAATCGCTTGAGCTCAAGAGTTTGAGGTTGCTGTGAGCTATGGCGCCACAGCACTCTACCTAGGGTGACAAAGTGAGACTCTATTTCAATTAAAAAAACAAACAAACAATTATCTGTTGAGCATCCCCCATGTTCCAGGCAGCAATCTCGCTACGGGAGTGAATGACAACATTCCCGCTCTCACAAATCTTCTGTCCTTCTTAGGAGAAGCTTGATGGAATGTGCATCTCCGTATGTACCCTTCGTACATTTAGGATTGTTCTTGTAGGGTAGACTTCTAGGGGTGGAAATTCTGGGTCAAAGGGAGAATCACGCATATTTTGATTTTTCCAAATTCCAACATTTTTTTTTTTTTTTTGAGCCAGAGCCTCAAGCTATCCCCCTGGGTAGAATGCTGTGGCATCACAGCTCACAGCAACCTCCAACTCCTGGGCTCAAGCGAGTCTACTGCCTCAGCCCCAACTATTTCTGAATTCTCTCCAAAATAGCTGTGCCATTAACCCTCTCATCATCAGTCTATCAGAGGGTGAGCCTTCCCACAATCTCCTCATTGCTGAAGATTTTCAGCTTTCCAAATTATACAGAAAATAGCATCCATTTTTCTCTGATTATCAGTGAGTGTGAACATCACGCCTGTGTTGACCAGCCATTTAGATTTTTCTATGATTTTTCTATTCATAGGTATCCTTGATCATTTCTATTGAATTGCTTATTTATTTCTTATTACGGGAGATCTTTGTATGTTTTAGGTAATGTTCAGACACCTATGCAGTAAAAGTCATTAGTACAAAATGTACAAAATGGCAAATTTTTATCCACACTTTGGAGAGAATTACTATAGGGCTGGTGCTAAGGCTGATCCTGGGGCTTCACAGAAGAAGAAAACACAGGTCTTGGTCTCCAGGGTCCTACAGCCAAGAAGTGGGGGGAGGATCAGAGCAACATAGGACCTTGTGATCTGTGTGACAGAGAGGTTTGTACATGGCCGTGAGGGGTACCAAGGAAGGAGCTATTGCTTCTTTTTCTTTTTCTGTGGGGGGGGACAGAGTCTCACTTTGTCACCCTCAGTAGAGTGCCATGGCATCACAGCTCCCAGCAACCTCCAATTCTTGGGCTTAAGCGATTCTCTTGTCTCAGCCTCCCAAGTAGCTGGGACTACAGGCGCCTGCCACAATCCACAATGCACAGCTTTTTTTTTTTTTTTTTTTTTTGCAGTTGTCATTGCTGTTTTAGCTGGCCAGGGCCAGGTTCGAACCAGCCACTTTTGGTGAATGGGGCCGGCGCCCTACCCACTGAGCCACAGGCGCCGCCTGGAGCTATCACTTCTGCATGGCTAGCCCTGCTCTGATTCTGCGGGGATGTGAGTTACATACAGGCGTCTATAAAAAGAGGGCTATGTGAATTGCTGAACACAGGAGCAAAGTGCCCACACAATGCCGTGGGATGCAGATATGGACATCACCCACAGGGTGGGGCAGAGGCAGGAAGGGTTCCATGAAAAATGCAGCATTTGAAATCTTCCTTTTGATAGAGTTTCAACAAGGGAGTGTTCCGAGGAGGGCAGGCTACCCTGTGAAGAGAAGCCCCCAGGGTCAGAGAAGATGCCACTGGGAGGGAAAATGGGCCAACTGATTGACTAAAACTCTGGAAGGTGTTAGGACCTTGCCCTGGATCCCACTGGTGGGAGGCTCTGCCCCGGCATTGTCCCACAACCCATACCTTCTTAGCACACAAGAGTATGAGAGTGACATTTGCATGGGACAGAGTTCCAGCATGCTTTCCCGTTGGGTGACTGAGGGGTGACCACCTGCTCACCATCAGGAGTCTTAGTTGGACTATGCGCTTCATTGGGGCTGTGGACGCTATCACGTCACCTGGTCTTAAGCTAAAACACTTAGCTTTATGATTACCGGGTTTCCTTCAATCCTGGCTTTTGTTCTGGGGTTCTAAGACAGAGACCAGTGGCCAGAAGTCTTAGAAGCACTAAGACTCAGTGAGGAAAACAGAGCTCCCAGGTACGGGGCCTGGGGCCGCCGGGTACGAATGGGGAAGTCAGGCGGCAGTGCTGGCTGTGGGAGGAAGTGTGGGCTGGGGGTACCTCTGCAAGTAAACTGCATGTGGGGCCCGTGGGGCCTGGGTGCTGCCAGGATATCAAAAAAAATGTAGTTGTGGGAATAGAATCTTCTAGAAAGAAAGGCTATCTGGACGCCCCAGTGTGGGTATGATGACTGATGAGATGGGAGGGAGGGAGAAGGACCTACTTCTGCATTTTTTTGCCGAGTGTTTTGCTTCAGAGGCTGTTCCCAGCAAGGTTCCCATTGGTCCCCACTGCTCAGGTGATGCTCCTTGCTCGGGCATCGCACATAACAGTGGAGGAAATGGGGGCGTCTGCCCGGAGATGGCTTCTGTTCTTTATCTCAGCGAACGTTCCAGGCTTCTCCGCTTCCTCCTTCCCTTGTCGTCTCAGGACTTTAGAAAAACAGCGACCAAAAGTCAGGTCTGATACTTTGAAGGGAAAAAGATTGGGAATGGATCCTTATGGGCTGTCTACAACGTACAGGGAGCTCTATGTAGTTTATTTATTTGTTTATTTATTTATTTATTGCAGTTTTTGGCTGGGGCCGGGTTTGAACCTGCCACCTCCGGTTATGGGGCCAGGGTCCTACTCCTTTGAGCCACAAGCACCGCCCCCCCCCCCCAGTTTATTCTTTTTAAACTGCACCAGAATCCCGTGAGGAAAGCCTTGGGATCCACAACTTAAGGACAAGCAAGAGGACCTTAGATGACATTTGGCCGTCTCCTCCCGGTACTCAGGTTGCCTGGGCAATTTGCGGGGCCCAGTGCAGAATGTAAGGGGCTCACTGGGGCTCATTGTTCAGAAGGCAGGAAGCAGCTTTTCCTTCTCTTCCAAGACCGACCTCTCCTCCCGCAGGGTGGTTTTTATTTGCTGTTTAATGTTCCCTGGGCCCAGGAATACTTGCAGGGCCGGGGCATCTGGTGCGTTTTCTGCCCACTTCAAGGGCAGGTCATGAGGATGTGGGGGGCGGGCCCGGGTCCCCTTTTCACGGAGGCTTTGTCTTTGTTCTTCAGGACAAAGGGCCTGTACTTTATCTCCACAGGTAAAGTAGCAGACTGTCGTGTCTTCCCCTTGTTGCCAGGACCAGCTCTTTCAGAATCTCCTCTTCTTTTTTGTTTTTAA